GAAGTGTACCTCTGGTGCAAATTACTGACCTCTGTCATCATTTTAGGTGGGGGAACTTGCACAATCGGTGGCTGACTAAATACTTTTTTGCCCCTGTGTGTGTGTGTGTGTGTGTGTGTATGTATATGTATATATGTGTGTGTGTGTATATGTGTCCCACATTTTAAAGTCATCTTACACCCTCTGAGATGTGGACAAATCTCCTCTAGCCTCTTGATAATTATGATATTTTATCCCCAGATATGTACATGTGACCGTGCAATGTGATCCTGCTGTGAACATGTAACCAGCCTTTTTGTGTTATTCTCAAAGCTATCAGCCTTTCTTGAGTATATAGTTACCCTGCTTCTGTTAACTTTTGTCCTTTTATTCACCTTTTTTTTTTGTGTGAACCTGAACAGACAAAAGCACGTATATGCCCACAAACCTGCACGTAAGGTGTGTGGAAATGAAAACCTCACTATAGAAGTCCTTGGGTGGAGATCTGCTTGAGACGTGGAGAGAGTATTCTGTATTATTTCCCCTTGGGTGCTTGGTTTTTGGTTCACCTTCACTGCCCTTTCATTAATCTCTCTTCTCCCCAGTTTTGTAATGTTTGCAGATGATCGCTAATAGTCTCTGTATGTGGATGACACTCTAATTAATCAAGCACTCTATGCTGGCCAGTCCAGTAGCAACCAACAGCTTCTGACATGCAGCTAGCTGGCAATAACCAGTTTGTACAACCCTGAAGGGCTGCAAGTTCACACATATGTGTTTGTGCTTGTGTGGCAGTCGTTTCTGGCTGGAAACGCCACACTACAACAAGAGAGTGAATTTGTGTGTTGGCGAGGGATTTCCTATGTGCACACATTCGGTATGAGTTAATGTGTTTATGGCCCCCTCTTGATTTGGTCAGACTCTCCTATAAAGCTATTCATTACATGGTAGTATGGTGAAGTAATTATGCAGTCTGGGCTTCCTGTCACGTCCAGAGGTTATTGGACTCTTGCCGCACATCAAATATGTTGCACTTTTTAGTAAACCTCTCTCTCTATATCCATCTCTCTCCCTCCCTCTGTGTTTTACTCTCTGGCACACCTCGTCTTTCATCACATTTCTGCAAAGCAGACAGAGAGAGAGAGAGATGTATCAAACATCAAACCTGATAATTTCTGTTAAAGAGATCTTACACCTTTCTTAGGCATTTTTATATCTTAATTTCAGAATTGTTTCTTTGTTTGGCAACACACTATTAGTATGCTCATGCTGTGGAGTGTTGGAGGCTCCAATTGCAGCCGATTGGTTTTTGGCCGTTGGTAAATTTGTGTTATCTAACACAACTCTTTGATAATTCTTGCTCCACTGAATATTCAGCAAACATCCAGAAGACAAGAAGCTCTTTCTGAATTTTGTTTATCCTTCTGATTGGATTTTGCAGCTTGGTGGCTCTGTGTGTGTTAACGCATGTAAATAATGCACATAAACACATTCGCACACGAACTAAGAAGGCTCCTCGTTAATTTGTGTGCAGAGAAAGGGGGTGGGCGTGGGGGTGTGGGCTGTGAAGGAGTGGAGATGGATTGATAGGAAGCAGGGAGGTACAGGCAAGGTGATTAAAAACTCAGGCTACAGATGTTTCTGGAACACTTCAAAGTGTTGCGCCTGCCAGTGCTGGGCATGATGCATTATTGAAACGGAGCCCACCTGGCGCTGACATCACATACCCTGTCCACCTGGTGCCGCGCGGTCACGTGGGTGACACTCTGGGTCACACCTCCTCACACAAACCTAGCTCCCAGTGCGTTGAAGGGCATCAGGGGATACAGCACACATTCTCAACATAGACCTCAAAGGCACTAAACTGGGGCATGTGCAGACTGTAAACTTGGCCTCATGAATTGAAAGTGAGGAGGAATAATTTGCTAGTTGCAAAACTTTTTTTTCTCCTATATGTGGAATTGATAACATGAAAAATATTATTTCCTTATTTGGCTTGTACCTGCTTCTAAAGTTTTTTTTTTTTAAAGTAATCTGAGAAAAGATTAAAGAGGACTGTTCTGCTCATTTCCCATTCCATGTTTTGACTATCACTCTACTAAAGTAGCTTTGCATGATTTACAGTTTAAAATAATGCTTGTTTGTCTTGCACTGGGTTTCGGTGCGGTTGCAACCTTCCCCCTCCATTTAAGTCAACTTTTCTCTGACCGGCTGGTCCTTCCAGAGAGTCTGAACAGCAGCGGAGGGGTTCCTGAGCTGTGTGCCTGAGCTGTGTACCTAACGTGACCATGTTAAGGATGTAACCTACAACTGACATAATGCAAAACTAAGAAAAAACTAACTGAAACTGAGTGGTTGCAGCAGTCCGAGGCCTGAGCTTTTTACTCAGAGAGTTACTTGCAAATCTGCTGACCTCACTGTTTGAAATTTTGCCTATGTTTAATACAAGCATCCATCTTGTAAGAGGATATAAAAATACAGCATGAAAGGTCTGTTTTATGGTCAAATTCATGCAAACATGCACAAAGATGCAGCAGCGTAACAGTTTAATTTCTTATGGAGTCAATAATTGAAATGCAGTGACCATGATTCAGTAGAGTCTGCATTATTGAGCATATTCAGAGGAAAGCCTGTGAATCTTTCTGGAATATCCTCATCTTTGAAGTAACCTCCAGTGTGGTGTTGATGCAATTCTTGCTGCTTAATATTTCAGCAGCCTCCTCAACCTTGTTTTGTTCAAAAAAAAAAAGGAAAAGGAAAAAAAAGTAACTAGAGGTCACGGTTGTGTTTGTGCATGTGCATGTGCATGAATATATGTGCGTGTGTTTCTCCTGCATGTGTCCCCTGACACCTGTACTCTCTCAGGGTGTGAGGAACAGACAGAGGCCAGAGCCACAGTCACAGGTCTCAGACCAGTGGGGTGTGAAATGAATCACAGGGCCAACACACTCTCCCACTGCTGCACACACTCGACTCGCTGTGTGGGTGTGTGTTGCGTGGCGTGTATGCGTGCTTGCGAGAGACAGGAGCATAAAAGGAGAGCAAGGACACTGAAAGAAAGGGAAGAAGGGGAGGTAGAGACAAGAAACTCCTACACTGTGGTTTTAGCTGCATTAATAGGTCCTCAGTTAATAAAGTCAGTATAAATATTTATCAGCGCTGTAACGCTTTCTCATGAGAGATGCCGTTTGGACTAACTGCGGTGTAGCTTTGGCATTTCATTTTCGTTCAGTCTTTATTGTCGACAAGACTGGGAAAGGCAAATGTGTAACAGTCTCAGGACTTCAGACCCTGCAAGAACCAGAGTCACAACTGCTTTTGTTATTTTGATTAATTTCAGTGTCATTAGGGAATTTGAACCTCATAAGTCAGCCCTAAAATCTTGTTTTATGGATTTTTCCCCCCCCCATTATGCTCACATGGTGCAAATTCATAAATAAATTTGTGTTTGAATGACCCCAAATGAATTTAAGTCTAGCTTTACTATAACACCGGTGTACTGCTTGCACGGGTTTGCCTGTGAGAAACCATAAAACACAACAGGGTACAATTCTTTCGCTAATTTTTATTTCACTTGGATATTTCAGCTTCCTTTTGTAGATAGCAAAAATGATCTCATTCATCTGCCTAAGGTGAAAAGCTTCTCGGTGCTTACCATAAATCTGAATTTAAGATGTGCGGGTGCAAGTGACCTTTTGTGACCTGTAAGGAGAAAACTTGAAATCGTTTTTTTAAGCTTTTCTTTTCAGCATATTTGCATACTTGAGTGGAGTATTTGAATGAAAGTGAGACATATTTGAATAATCATGGATAAAGGGTTTTTATTGCACGACAGAGAGTAAACATACAAATATTTGAAGAATTTCAAATGAACTTGATCAGAGAAGCTCCTTAACAGTAGATGTAAATCTTGGGCTTAAGTTGAAGATTTACATTATATTTCTTATTTTTTAAAAAGGCTTCAGTTGATGGGAACATTCACGGGGGCATTTAAATTTTGCGGCTTATGCTTTAAATGCTATTAGGCACTTACCTTGCTTTTAATGAACTGTTCATTCGGGATTAAACTCTTTAAGATCACAACCTGCAGCTCTTCTGGAAAAAGCAAAAATCCTCCAGCAACAAGAAACGGGGCGGCAGAGGAGGGGATCCGGTGCTCTGGTTGGTTGTATCGGCTGTCAATCATCCACGAGTACTCGGCAGCACCTCCCACAGACGCACAGCGGCAGCGCAGCTTTCACCCACAATGATATTCAAGGCACTTGCGGCTCGTCTGCAGCGATAGGAGAAAAGAGGACAGAAAAGAGAGCCTCACCTCCTCTAACAGCGAGTGAGGTAGGGAAAAGAGTCAGAGAGCGAGAGGAAGACGAGAGGCTGTGGAGTTAAAAGAAAGACAACGGCGGCTTGGACCTCCTGCCAGGACTCTTTAATTGTCTGCGCTTTATTATAAAGTGTCTAATTTTCACACAGATTCGACATGTCATCATCCGGTAAAGACAACAGCGGTGCCCAACACGCCAATTACGTGGGACCTTACCGTTTGGAGAAGACGCTCGGAAAAGGACAGACAGGTTAGTTGGGACAGCTTGCTCGCGGCATCCTCTCTAATTGCACAATTTATTTTCGGAGCGCTCCGCAGCGAGTTGAAATTTGGCCGGCTGGGTGTCTGCAGGTGATAAATAACTAACCGCTTAGTTACAAACACCTGCCCAGCCTTGTGGGGAATTTGGAGGGTTGTTTCGCCAGCGGTCTGACATAATCATTGTTCACACAGGATGTTGCTTTACATTGTTTTATTGGCTGTGCGTTGGCGTTGGACTGTGTGTGTGTGAATTAAGGAGCAGCAGCGTGGAAGCCGTTCAGCAGCAGAAATGATGACAGTGTGATGGGCAATGAAAATGAACTTTTTGTGTTTTGGCTCCCCTGTTTGTATGTGTGTGCGTGTGTGTGTGTGTGTGCTCTGTGATTGGAGCACAACGCCCGTTAATCCCGATTTGCCTGATACATTGATCTATTCTTAGTCCGCAGGCACGCATGGGGGAGGCAGGCGTTTCTCCTATAGGCTCTGGCTGCAATACGTGGGTTTCCTCCGTTACGGAGTAACATGTCCCACCTTGACAGATGAGCTGTTCACAGAGCTGGGAAATAAGAGCCACGCTGATGTATATTCATACACCCCCAGCCAGGAGATGCGACTGGGGCTTCCTATAAGAGTCACATGCTTTATCTGAGCCTAGACAGCAATGACACTGCAGTTTCTAAAGTTGCATGGCACATGCTCTCTCCAATCAGCAGGTCTCGATTCCATAATATTTCACGCTAGGTGATGAGTAGCCCACAAGGCAGTAGCACATCACTGTCCAGTACGTCCCCCTGTTGAACGGTGAGAATCCTCTGCGATCAAGTACATGCAGCCAGTGGAGCCATGTGAAAGGAGAGGCAGGCACAGCCCTGTGTAGGCAGAAATAGCAGGAGTGATGCAGCATGCTCTGTAAGCTCAACAGCACTTAGAATGAGAGAGGCAGTGGGACTTTTTCTTCTGCTCTTTCACTATGTCTCTGTAGATTTTTCTTCCCATCTGTTGTCTAAAATGGCTACAATAGGCGTTAGTTCCCCTAGCCCGCCCAGCTGGTCATGCTGAGCAACCCTGTGTGTATGTGCAAATGTTTGTGCGCGCTCTCAGACAGTATGCTTTCTTAAAATGACCACTTAGTCACCTGACCAGCGCTCACTGTTCATTAGTGGGTCTGAGGGGGGAGGGAGCACGGCTTCATAATCCCTCTTTAACTGTAGAAGATATTTGAACGAGTCATGTTTCGCACCATGACGCCCACAGGTGGATTCAATAAAAGTTAGTTAACCAGCACAGTGCGATGCATAATGATTTCCATATGATCTATTAGTCGTAGTTAAAGTTTATGCAGCAGTTGATTTTTAAAACAACCTAATAATACACGCAGTATTCACATCCTCCTGACACCTATCTATTTTATCATTTGTGTTTACAGGAACCCCTCACTCACTTTTAAATAGCTCTCAGGAGTCCCTAATGTGTGTTTATGATGGTGCAGAGCTGGTTCCATGGCTGGATATTTAATCATATGTTGTCTGTGTAATCTATGGCACAGTGTGTATTCATGTGAATGCTGGGGCAGATTTCGATGAACGTTTCGTACTCTCCTCTGAAGTCTAGTATGGAGTATGCAAGTTACAGGTCAGCTTGCAAGATATAACTTTTATCAAACTTACTTGGGCTGAATTTATCAAAAGGTTTTTACTTTTTAAAACATTTTTCAGTCAGACAGGTTTTTCTAATTGAATAACAGTCATTTAGTTTGAATGCTTTTGCTCTGGTTTTTCAATTACATCTCGGGGCTCATATGCACTGAAATAACCAGGCCCAGCGTTATGTGTTTGTCCATGTTCTCTGTTAGAAAATTCATTTGGTTATTGGCATCTGTGGTGCTAGTCCACGCCAAACCTATTCAGATTAATGACACTGCCTAATATCCCATTCTCCCATTTACCATTTGTTAATCTGTCAGATCTTTTTCCCAGGCCCCACGGAAAGGGTTGGCCTGGCAACTGAGTGCACCCAATGGGCTGGTCTTAACCGCAAGTGGCAGCTGAGACTGTCCAATGAGCAAAGTCCTCTGTGAGCTTTCCCAGGCTATGGTTGGCTGGTATTATTGGAGGGGAGAAAGCGGAAGCCCTCTGGTAGATCTGGCGATCCTGCTCAGAGGAGTTGTGCTTTTCCATGTTCATTAAGTGATTAGGCCCTGTCCTGACATATACACATAAACACACACACATGGCCACCTCAGTAATTCTGGTTGGCTTTCTGATCTAATCCTCTACACAGCCAAAGCCCCGTCAGCTCTTACTCACACGTTCACGTGGCCCAAAGGTAGCATTCTAACTCCTGTCCCACTCTGGCTTTCAAACTCCACCTTCATGTTACTGTGCAGCTTGCATACAACAAATCACATATACTCCTTTGCAGTGATGCAGTACAGATAGTGGGATGCATATTCTATATATTCCCTTGTCACAGAAGAGCAAGCGTGTTTACTCAGTACTTGCAGACCATATGACGATTTCTTTGTCAGGTGTAAGATGGGGCCTGAAGCAGTCTTGAAATATTGAGTGTTCTTATCGGGGCTGAAGCATCAAAAGTATGGAATCCAGGTTTTGGCCCAACCTGCCCAGTGCACTGTCTACGGTTCTATGTAGTCAATGAGCCTAAAATCCAAGATTTAGTTCATTCTGGAAGGTGGTGGGAAGACTAAGGAAAAACTCATTTGTTTTGATTTCACCATGATTTGATCATGACAGACAGACAAACCCTGTTATCCTGATGCAACTCTAGTTCACGCTTTACTTGAAGAATATTTAAACACCACAGTGCTCACTGGATTAACATCCTTAACACCTCCACATGGCTAATTAGCATGAACAACATGGACACATGGCTAATGATTGTATCATTATGCATGATATAAACTTGACTGAAGCTACTTCTCAGTTGGATTTTCTCAGCCTTTATTTACATGTGTGTTGTTTACCCCAACACAAAACATGCTCTTAATGGCTAAAGGTTTCGGCTAACACGGTGGTGTCTTTGCAGTTAGCTACAGGGCCGAACTGGTCTCATTTTAGCATCTATGGAGGATCTGAGAAGCTGTGTTTCACAACTTTCACTAGATTTCTTCCCTAAAACTTCCTATGAACAGCTCTGGTAGCCATGGGATGACAGGATGAGGGCAAGAAACGTACAATAGATGCAGAAGGTGGAACATTTGCATTGTGGATTCTGGATTTGTATTTGGTATATGTCTGCATTTACTCTCTCAGAATTCCCATTCAGCTTTACTTTCTGTCAAACACTAAGTTGAACTCCATGCACTGTTAGGCTGTATTATATCCTATATTAGCTTCACGAGCCTCTAATCTGTGTCACGATGGCCTAGAGACTGAGGTAGCACTTATTAAAACCCTTATTAAAATGTAGAACTTGAACGTCTCCATCACGCTGGGATTTGCAGTCACAGCCTTCTTGCATTTCGAAATCGTGTAGCTTTGTTTGACAAAGCTGAATATGTTTAATTTGTGTTTTTGCCAGTGCACTGACTTAACACAGGCTGAATCACTGCTCTGTTCCTTAATGCTTTGGAAAACACTGCCTTGCTTTGCCTTTACTTTGTTCCTGAAGGCTGTTGATTAGTGAAATAGAGGCCTATTGTCTGGAAAACACTGCATGCTAATCCAGCGTAAATCCCAGTTTTGTTTTTTGTTTTTTCATGCTAGACTTGGATATTGACAGGCTAAGCGATGGAGGTTGATGTGTAGGCTCCTTGATTCTTTGGTTGACGTTTAGAGAGTGAAATCATTTGTGCTTCAGTGACTTTCATATTGACTGCTCAGCTGATAAAAAGCTCTGCGTGATGTTGTGTCTTGCGTTCTCTTTCTCTCTTTAGGTCTCTCTGCTTTTATCTATATGCTGGAGAGTTCTTGTTTTGGGTTTCCTGTGCCTACCAGGCATTGGAGCCAGCATCTAGCTGGTCTCGCTGTTTTAGAGTCAGCAAAGGGCCGGCTGGTTTCTAACTCCAACTGCAGATTTCACTATTTGCAGTATTGGGTTGTGTTTGTGCATCTTTGTGTATGAACGATGGAGGAAAATCCATCCATGTATACATTACCCAGATTGTTCTTGGAGCCTGGTGCAATGGTGATACACAACCGTTAATTCTGCATTGATTGATAGCTAGTAAGCCGGTGATTTAGTTCATCGGCCACTCCCAAAGATTTCCTGTCAGGTGAAATAGATCCATACTGTTTCACAACACATGATATTCCTGATGATGACAAGTGACTAGGACATGTTCGTTCAATGCTGCCAATGAAAAGCCACTTGGCAAATCCACAAAAGTGAAATGCATTTGGGTGCTTACACGTGTGCGTCTTGTGAATCGAACAGGTGATCGTACTACAGGTGATCTATAGCCTCCTTGCCATTTTTAAAAAAGGAGAAAAAATGAAACACAAAAAGCTCAAACACAACTCTCTTACTCCCCCGTGTTCACAAGATTACCCAGAAAAAGTTGCCAGGTTTGACCTAAAATTGGTGAGTGAGGGGAAATAAATGAAAGGCTGTGATGATAGGCCCATGTTTCAAGGGGCCTGTTCAAAGATTCAGGTCAGAGAAGCCCTGACCCAAAAGCTGTACTCTGTTGCTCCCAGCTGGATAGCACCTCATGTTAGGATGCTGGATCAGAGCTGTAGAGCAGGAAGGCAAGCTTCCTCGGTCTCAGCCGTTTGGCTGTCTAGCTAAAGCTGAAGCCCTGCTCTCTCTGTATTGAAATGTATCTGAAATAATGGGAGATGTGTGCGTGTCTCGCCTAGGTTGTTATATTTTGGATAAAAATATATATTTAATGTGTATTTAGGCTGTTGCTTCAATGTTCTGGTCATTTTTATGGGTTCTTTAAGTAACTCAAACCAAGAATGTAGTCTTTTCACAGTCTGCATCGTTGGCTGACGTTATATAATGATGATGGTCTCTGTCATTTAA